AAGAAATGGGGCTGCTTTTAATCCACAGTGCAGTCAGATGGATGCATGAATGACTCCAGAAGAGGCCTTGGCTTCTATTATGAGGGAGGGGAACTAAATAATCACTGTGCTGAGCCTTGAGAATTTGCTACCTGAATGTAGAGAGGTCTGGAGTGGAAACTATTGGCCCATTCTTGTAATTATTATGCAGCTGTCCATGGATGGCATAGACAGACTGAGTTAAGCAGGGAAGGGAGAAGGGAGATTTTATGCTCTGAATCATGTTTCTCAGGGCCAGGTGATACTTGGTGACCACTGTCAAGGCCAGATTGGGCCCCCAAACCAAGTTTCTGGGCACTGAGTGCTAACAGGTGTACCTTGGGAGGAGAGGGAGCAAGAGGTGTGGGCAGAAGCCTGGGATTACCCCAGCAGGGAGGAGCTGCAGAAAGCCCACAGGGAAAGTAGCTTGGGGGAGGAACCAAAAGGCTGACCAAGCACAGGAGTTCTTTAAGGAGGGGAGACACACCTGGTCTGCGCTGTCTTTCCTGATCTCAGTTGGACCTCCAAATGCAGGTCTGGCCCTTTTTCTTGATCTTGGTGGGACCTCCAAATGATATAAGGAAATAAAACTCCCAATCTGAAAGCTACCTGGGACAAGTTTTGCTTCAAAACCTGAAGAATGAATTTTAGGAACAACAGAGGTTAAGAGAAGAATATTTATTGGGGGAAAGAAATGCTCTGTCTGAGAGAGGGACAGAAGGGGACCTGAGTGGGTTACCAAAGAATCTGCCTTTTCTAGGGATTTTTATAGCACAAAACCACAAGGTGCGGTGGGTCTAAGATGCAAAACAGAGGAACTTGCATATGAGGTGGGCAAACACAATGTCCTATTAATAAGATTACATGCTTAGGTAAAATTGATTAAATAGGGATTAAATGGGCACATGAGTCATACAGCAAGTGGGCATGAATACAGAACAGGGGCTTCTCCTGTAGGGGTTGGGCCAGTGACTTTTGGCTTTTTCAAGGTGACTGATACCTACTTAGAATTATCAATCCTTGATGACCATCCCTAGGGAAGTATGTAGCTGCATTTGTTTGATCTTTTGTCTTGAGGTCTGGCCCACAGCAGGAGCATCTGTCTCTCCCATAGTTGCAAGGACATCTTGTCTTCCATATTGTCACCGTGAGGGCCTGGCCCTGCCTGCCTATAATATTTTTATCTGACTCAGCTGCTCACAGTCAGTGTATATGCCTGCATGGTGCCTCTGTTCTCTGCTCTTCCAAGTGTATCTGTGAGGACAGAGTTGTGAGGAGGAGTTGGACTGTGAGAAACCAGTTTCTGTTTTTAAAATTAACTTTGTTGGTATATTTTTGACAAACATTTCCTTGCTTCTTCCAAATATCTAGCCCCCATTTTGATCCTTCTTCGTGCTCTAGGTTTCTCACACAAGACAAACAGTGCAGCATTTAAACTCATGCTTTTGATTTCTTTCATTTGCAGTTATGGTGTCAAGGTACATTTATTTACCTAAAAATGTCTCAAGTTTATTCTTCTTTATGGCAGAATAGTACTCCACTGTATAGGAAACCACATTTTCTGTATCCCTGGGCATCTGGGATGGTCACAAGATTTAGCTATGAGAAACTATGCTGTTATAAATAGGAGTGTGCAATATTATTGTGGTATAATGCTTTTAATTCTTTCAGGAGATGCAAAGAAGTGGAATAGTGGGTCAAATGGAACCACTTGTCTAGTTTTTGAGGACTCTCCGCACTGATTTCCACAGTGGTTGCACCAATCTACACTCATACCAGTGATTGAGAAAGATTCCTTTCCCCCCACAGCTCCACTAGCATTTGTTATTGGTTGATTTCCTGATAATAGCCATTCTTTCTGGAATAAGATGGAATCTCAGTGTTGTTTTAATTTGCATTTCTAGAATGATCAATGGTGCTGAACATTTTTAGTATATTTATTTGTTGTTTATACTTCTTCATCTGAGAAGTGTCTATTCATTTCAAATGCCCTTTTTTGGACTGAGTCTTTAAATTTAGGAGTTTTTGATGTTTTGAGTTCATTATATACTCTAGCTATTAGTACTTTGTATGAAGAATAGCTGGTAGCATTTTTCTCATTCTATGAGTTGTTTATTTTTACTCTATTGGTGGCTTCTTTTGCTGCGCAAAAGCTTTTTGATATGGTGAGATTCTAGTTGACTCTTTGTAATATTTCCTGTGCAATCAGAGTTTTGTTCATAAAGTTCTCACCTCCACCAATGTCTTCAAGAGTTTTACCAATTTTATCTTCTAGTAGATTATTTTGATTTTAATATTTAGATCTTTGATCTGTTTTGACTTTCTCTTAGTATGTAATGAAACATGTGAGTCTAGGTTTAATTTTGGTGTGTGTAAAGTCATGTTCCCCAGCACCATTTATAAAGAGGCTATCTTCCAGGGAAGGTGTTTGGCCCAAAGGTGGCTGACTGCATTTGGAGTTGTGTCTGCCTCCGTTGTTCTGTTCCAGATCCTCAGCTCAGTTTTATTTCTCCAGGATGACATTGTTTCTTATCATGGTAGCTTTGTAGCATAATTTCTTGGGGATTGTGATGCTCCTTGCCTTGTCTTTGTTGCCCAGAGCTGTATTTGCTATGTTAGGTCTATTCTGTGTCCAAATTAATTTTAGGATTATTTTCTCTAATTCTGTGAGGTAAGCTATTGGTGTTTTTATTGGGATTGAATTAAATTTGTACAAGAGTTTTGTAAGTATGGATTTTTTTTAAGAACACAAAATAGTTAATAAAAAAGCATTAGAAATGATACAAAAGTTCACCAAACAAAGTAATAGTAATTTAACAATAGTTGCTGTATTGCATGATGTTATCTTCAAGTTGGATATTTAGGTTAGTTAGTTATTTAGGTTAGTTATATTAGGTTACTTAGGTTACCAGATATAAATGTGCAAAATTGATTAAAAAACAAAACAAAACAAAACAAAAGAGCAACAACTTTTATAAGAAATGGGAAGGAAAAACTGGGATAAGGAAAAGAACAAAAGGAAGAAGGGAAAAAGATATATTCATGTATACATGTAGGATAATTTGTATAATTGTATTGCTGATTTCTGCTGGTCTTTAAAAGGAGCAGTTAATGCTTAGTTTGGACATTTTCACTCTATTAATTCGCCTATCCAAAAACAAGGGATATCTTTCCATTTTCTGTTATCTTCTTTTTTCTTCTTTTTTTGGGGGTATTATAGTTTTCAATGTAAAGGTCTTTGACTTCTTTCATTAGATTGAATTCTAAGTATTTCATTTTTTGCTTGCTATTGTGAAACGCGTTATTTCCTTAGTTTCTCTCTCAGTGAGTTTGGTATGTATGTAAAGGAATGCTATTGATGTTTTGAGTTTTGGCTTTGCATCTTTGTATGCTTCTGAATTCAGTTATTGACTCTAGGAGTCTTGTGGGGAGTTTGGGGGGTCTTCTATGTATAGTATTGTATCATTTGCAAATAATGATAATTTAACTTCTTCCTCTTCTCTCCCTATTTCTTTCTTTTCTTTCTCTTGTCTAATTGCCTTAGCTAATCTCTGTTTCTAGGGATGATACTGAATAGGAGTCGTGATAGTGGGCATCCTTGTTTTGCTTCTGATTTTAAGGTGAAAGCTTCTGTTTTTTTACTATTTAGTATGATGTTGGCTGTTGGTTTGTCATAGATGGCTTTTATCAGATTGAGATAAAGATTACATGGTCCAATTTTATGTAGAGTTTTTTTTTTTATCATGAATGGGTGTTAGATCTTGCCAAATGTTTTTTTTTCTACATCTATTGAGATGATCATGTAGTTTTTGTTAATATGGTTTACTACAATACTGATTTGCATATTATGAACCACCCCTGTTTTCCTAGGATGAATCCTAATTGGTCATAATGTATAATCTTGATTTTCTGAATTCTGTTTCCCAGAATCTTATTGAGGAATTTTGCATCTATATTCATTAAGGAGATTGGCCTGTAATAATTCTCCTCCTCCTCCTCCTCCTCCTCCTCCTCCTCTTCCTCCTTGGTTGTATCCTTCTCTAGTTTTGGTATCAGAGTAATGCCTGCTTTCAGAAATGAGTTTAGGACTGTTACTTCCCTTTAATCTCATTAAACTGAGGAGCAGTGGCATTAGATGTTCTCTAAGTTTCTTATAGAATTTAGCTGTGAATTAATCAGGACCTGGGCTTTTTTTGTTGGTAAATTTTTAATTACTTCTTCATTTGATTGACTGGATTACTTAGAATTTTTGTATCTTCTTGACTCAGCTTCTATAATTTACATGTGTCAAGGAATCTGTCTATTTCTTCTGTGTTTTTCATCTTCTTAGAGTACAGCTTCTTCAAGTAGATATTGATGATCTTCTAGATTTTTTTTGGATCTGTTGTGATCTCATCCTTTCATTCCTAACTGAATGAATTTCAATCTTTTCTTTACTGCTTTTCATAAGGTTGGCTGAGTATTTGTCTGTTTAATGTAATCTTTCAAAGAGCCAACTTTTTGATTCCTTGTGTTTTTGTACTGTCTTTTTACTCTCAATTGCATTAATTTTGGCTCTGATCTTTATAATATCCTCCCTTGTATATGTTTTTGGTATAACTTGCTCATCTTTTTCTAGATGCCTGAGGTTTAGGTTATTTGTTTGTGTTTGCTCTGTTTTTCTGATGTGGGATTCACTGCTATAAATTTCCCTCATAGGACCACTTTCATTATGTTCCATATGTTGTATTGGCCTTATCATTTAGCTGTATAAATTGTCTAATTTCTTCTTTAGTTTCATCTGTGACATTTTGGTTGTTCAGCAGGGTGCTATTAATTTCCATACATTTATGCAATTTTGTGTTATTGATTTCCAATTTGAAAAAATTTTTTATTCATTGGAATGAGAAAAAAATAGCAATGAAACAGTTTCAAAGCAGGTTAGTAGGACAGTTACAATAATTAATACACAGCATATTATTGTTTTCATAGTTGATTTCCAATTTTACTGCACTATGATCTAGTAATATGCCAAGGTCCAGCCTCAGCTTCCAGGGAACAACAACCTGAGGAGAGAGGAACGCGGGCAGCGAAGAAGAAAGACTCAGAGAAACACAGTAGGGTTAGGAGGGAAGAAGAGTGTTTCTCTTCAACCCAGAGCAAAATCAGGAGCCTGTATTTATATATGAGTGATTCCATAAGCTTTTTCCATGCGAAATTAACAGATGTGGTTTTCATCTATAAGCAAAAAACACTTTAAATTTTGATGAATATGAGTACGCAGTATAAACTAGGAGTAGTCAGGAAAACTTAATCAAACATCGTTCTTTCTGTTCTATTTCTGCCCTATTGAAACTCTCTGCTCTCAGGGGCACTTTCATACTGCCTCAAGATCTTGACTCTAAACTTCCTTGTTATTGTTGAATGATCCTGGCTTAGGCCTGGGCCTTTCTCCAGGTTTACATGGTAGGCGACAAAGAGTCAACCTCTATAAGAAATTTATGCACTTAATTAAGTTGTGCCAAATCCCTAGGTGATTAATTGTGTGCTCTCTTTCATGTGAATCATAAGCCTAACAATTCTCAGGGGGGTTGTGGAGACACATCCATGTGAGCTCTGCTTTGCAGATTCTCCAAACTTGAGGTGACTTTGTCAGAGGCCAAGCTTTGGGTGACTTTCCATAGTAATATGCATGGAGTAACTCCAATCCCTTCACATTTACTTAAGCATATTCTATGAGTTCGTATGTGGTCTATTCTGGAGAACACCCTAGGTGGAGCTGAAAAGAATATGCATTCTGTTGTTATGCTGTGGAACACTCTGTAGACATCAACTGAGTCCATTTGTTCAAAGGTTTGGTTCAACTCTGGAATTCGTTTGTTGATTTTGTTCAGTTGACCTATTTGTGATGGTGGGGTATTGAGGTCTCCCAGTATAGTCATATTAGTACTTACCTGATTTTTCTTCTCTCTCTCTCTCTCTCTCTCTCTCTCTCTCTCTCTCTCTCTCTCGTTCTCTCTCTCCATCCAACTGTGACACTGAGGATACAGCTACCCTATGAAGCCCCTGGATGCATTTAGAAGCAAGTGAGTGATCAAGACAACAGGATTTATGTTCAATTTTTCTTTTAGTCTGGACAGAGGAGTAGGTGAGACACAAAACTAGCAGCACTGTGAAGTAGGTTAAGTTACTCACACAGGGTTAAGCAGTGAACAAGACATAGAGAAAAAGAAAGAAAGGGAGACAGGGAGAGAAGGAAAGAGGGAGGGACAGAAGGAGGAAAGGCACATTCTGGCCTCAGGGAGTTGCTGTGGAGAAGAGCATTGCTGAAAGCAACTAGAGGGAGGGCCTCAGATTGTCTGCTAGTCTTATTGCACCAAGCTATTTTATTTATTTTTATTATTTTATATATTTATTTATTTTTGGCTGAACCAGGGATCGAACTCAGACCCTTGTGCTTGCCAGGGAAGCACTTATTCCACTGAGCCATCTACCCGGCCCTGCACCAAGCTATTAAACTCAAGGAGATCTGAAAGCCCAGCCATGCTGCCAGAGGGATTGTTACCCAGCACAGCAGGAGAAAGGTCAGGGGTCGGGGACAGAGAGGGAATCAGTGGCAGTGATAGTGCCAGAGGGAGGTGGGCAGGCAGAGGTCAATATGTGGTGGCAGGTTTGATTCCTAGGCCTCGTCTTGGAGCTCCTGATAGGTTTCGCTCTCTACCATGGGAAAGAATCTCAGGACAGGTGAGGAGAAGAGCTTGTGATGGTCCATCCTTAGTGTCACTTGGCTGGGCTGGGCATACCCAGGCATGTGATGAAATATAGTACTAGGTGTCTGTGAGGATGTTTCTGGATGACAGTGACATTTCAGTGGGAGGCCCTAGCTGGGCCAACTACCCCTGCAATGCATGTGGCCTCCATCCAGTCCATTGGAAGTTGGCAGAGAAGCAGAGGGTGGAACAAGGGAATGTTTCTTTTCCCTGCCTGACTGGTTGGAGCTGAAACATATATCTACTCCTACCATCCAAGTAACTTTGGACCAGACTTTATACACTAGATTCTCCTGGTTCCTGGACTTGGTCTTGGCCTGGACTCAGAACAACAGTTCTCTCAGCTCTCAGGCAGATACAGGACCTGTGTCACTGGCTCCCTGGGGTCTGCTGGGTGTTGACTGCAGGTCATGAGACTCCTTGCCTCCTGACCACATGAGGCAAGATAGTGTAATTTACTTACAACAAATCATAGGTCCCAGTCCCTCTGCCTGCTACCTTCTTCAGGATGTGTCTTCAATAAACCCAATCCCTTCTTACAAACATTTTCTCCTGAATACTGGAACCTATGGTGAGCAGCCTGGGCAGTTGAATCCAATATAAGCACTGCAAAATAAATACAAAATAAAAGTAAATCCCATCCATCTATGCTTCTATCCATCCATTCATTCATCCATTCTTCTATCTGCGCATCCATCAATCCATTTATCCTATCTGTCCATCCATCCATTCATCCATCCATCCATCCAACATTAGTTCTGTATCTCTGAAGGACAGTGTCCACCTTGACAAGTACAAGTGTTATAGGCAGCTGAATTAGATAGAAATATATGCAATCAAAAAGGGCCGGGTCCTCAAGGAGACAAGATGGAAGACAGGGTGACTTTGCAATTTAGAAGAGACAGACACTTCCCTATGGGTCACACCTCAAGACAAAAGAGGAAACATACAGCTACATACTTCCCTAGGGATGGGCATCAGGGATGGATATTCTAAATAGGTATCAATCAGCTTGAAAGAGCTCAAATGAGTCAACCCCCAACAGGAAGAGACCTTGTCCCATATTCTTGCCTGCTTTTTATGTGACTCTCTTCCTCATTTGGTACTGGATTCAATCAACTTTACCTGAGCAATGGTGCTTGTAATCTCATTGGTTGATCATAGTTTTGTCATATCTCATGCCCACCTAAGCGAGTTCCCATGTCTTCTCCACCATCGTAGACCTGCCTCACCATGTGGTTTTCCTCTATAAAAGTCCCTGGAAGAGACAGCTTCCTGGAGACCACCCTCTCAGGGTCCCCTCCTATCCCTCTCTCATATAGGAGCTGTCTTTCTTCTAATAAATATATTCTGCTCATAACCTTCATTTGTTCCTAAAATTCATTCTTCAGTTTTAGAGAACATGAATTTGTCCCAGGTACCTTTCAGGTTGAGAGTTTCATTTTTTCCCTATATCATTTAGAGTTCATCCACCCAAGATCATTTGTCCCCGGTGTCACAAACATTTCCTTCCCCCTACTATCTTCTTTCATGCTGGGACTTTTGTGTGAAAGGTGCGCATAGAGACAACCTTAGGAAAGAACAGGATGAGAAGAAGGGCGGGGGGAATGCTCTTGGGCCCCACAGCATTTTAGTCTGTGTTCTCAGCACATAACAATCACATTCATCATGGGGAATCAGTGCACCTACACCTCTTAATTCTTTTTACTTCTCCTTACCCTGCCCTCCCTCCTTTCACCCCTCCCTCCACCTCCCACCACCTCTCTCCACCTCCTGGACTTCACCAGTCTTTGAACTGCTGGCGATGTGATGATGGGTTGGTGTGATGAGCACAGGCTGGCCTCAACATGGGCAGCTGTGAGGCTCCACAAGGCCTTGCACAGGTGGAACTGCTTGGGGGAGTCCCAGTACATTCTGAACACAGATTGCGCATGGCCTGTGGTGTGGGCCCTGAAAATGGTGAAATCAGTCTTGAAAGAATAGGTCCACGTGTGTCCTTTGGAGAAATGTGGGTGCCCTGAGCAGGAAGGAGCGGCAGTAGCTTCTGCCAAAGGAAGACCCAGAGGAGTGCCCCAAACTCCTCCAAGTACCCCCATACCTCAGGGTTAACCTTAGAAGGCAGGGACTCCAGTTTCTATTTTAAACTGGGTGAGAAGGCAAGATGGAAATTGCTGACTACACAAAGAGAAAGAGGCTTCCCAGAGCAATGGGCCGTTCCACCCCCAGGCTGAGTTTCAGTATCTTGGTCACAGACAGAAGCCTCTCTCCAGACCTGAGCAAGAAGTTACCTCAGCAGTTACGCAGGTAGTCTGGCCAGGCCTTCATTCCCATGGGGGAGAATCTGGTTATCCTGAGGCACTGAGGCTGAGTCAGGTGCATTTAGCTGGAGGCTGCATCAGGGTGCAGAGGGAGGAGGCTCAGGGACCAGAGACCGGAGACCACCCTTAGGCTGTGGGACCACAGTCCACCTGCGAGGACCACAGAGAGAGCTGCCGCAGTTCCTGAGCCTCCTCTTGGGAGGATTTCAACCCACCTGCAGTGGACATGCAAAGTGCATTTCACTCCATGCCACACTGTCCCCCTTCTGCAGGAAGCCAATGCTTCGCCAGCGACAGACCTTCCCAATGTTAGTTCAAGCCTTTCCATAGTTGGTGAGAACCAGTAGCCTCAAAGCCTGGGAAACAAACAGCATCATGCTGAGTTCTCCTTGTTGCCTTTATGTAGATCCAAATACTGCTCCCATAATTCCTTGGGGCCTGTGGCGTAGACAGGTTTTGTCAATGGAGTTTGCTTTTCTCCCCACCCACGCATTCCTCAGCATAGCTCACCTGAGGAGTACATGCTCCTCTGTCCTTGCAAAAGCACCTCATTCATCGCAGGGAAACCGTTCTTCCCCATTCCTGTGGTCTTCTTGGAATCAATGCCCCTTTTGACTGTGACACCCTATGGCAGTGCCCCAAGAGCCTGTTTGCTAGTCCTGGTCACTGTGATCTTCAGCACTGCTATTCTTCCACCTTCTGGGCTCAGCGCTGTCTTTTACCTGTGTGATTCATGAGGTATCACGGTCACCACAAAGCCAGGCCCCGACATCGTCAGGAAGCCACTTTATACTCCTTGATCTGCGTGTCCTTGGTGAGAGAATTCAGTCAAGATACAAAGGTAGCTGACGGGGTGGCAGGATACAGGTAGAATGTATTGTAAAGTAGATACAGAGAGCGCCGCGCCTCCCAGCAGGAAGGCAGGCGCACCACACAGACCTCCGCCCGAGTGCAGGTGTGAGTTTCTGTGCTCACCAAGGTTCCGCTGGGATTTGGGGAGCTCACAATGCTCGTTGCTCCATTTACACCCTTCATGTGCTTCTTAACATTTCTCTCAGGGTTCCATTGCAATGTCGACATTTCAAGGACTCTAAACTAGGTCTCAGCCCACCGAGGGAGGGCTTTAAAGACTGCACCCTTTTCCAACATTATTGGCCATACACCCCTGGAATAATGTGTGCCTTTTGTAGACACAGACAGCCAGATATTAAGGAATATGCACAACATATACCCTTTTCTTTTCTTTTTCTTTTTTTTTTTTTTTTTTGAGAAAGGGTCTTGATATACAGCTCAGGCTGACCTTGAGCTCTTTTTGTAGCCCAGGCTGGTCTTGAACTCACAAAGATCCTCCTGCTTCAGCCTCCCGAGTGCTGGGACTACAGGTGTGAGCCACAGCACGCAGCTCCACAACATCTAACCTTAAACATCCCTAGGCTCTCTTGGGTTGCTTTGGGTCTGAGACCTAACAAATACAGTCCATGGTGATGTCTTGTTTCTTATGTATACCTGGGTGCATATGCTTTTTGGGCCTCCCTGTTTCGCAGGCTTTCTAATGTCCAGCCAGCCACATCGCTAAGCTCTCTTGTTTTTCTTAATTGGAGTTGATCTCTTTTGCTTGTGATCAGAGAAATCTGGAAATAACAATCAGAAAGGCCTTCCCTAACACGATTTTCTTAAGAGCAACAGCATCATAATCACCTTTCTCGGGAGTCCAGTCACAGGGAGGATAATATATTTCATAGGATAATAAGAATGGTTGGTAAAATTAAGGCAATCTAGAATAGGTGGGTGCTTTCTAGTCTGAGTACCTCTGGGGTATGCAAAGCAGAGTAGAAGCATGTAGGCCTCCTGGTCACTGACAGCTGCCAACGAATGGACCATCTGGCTGAGGGGACAGCTATGTGTGCAGGGAGGGACAGCAGAAGGGCAAGCTCAAGTGATTTTACTCTGGGGTTGCCTTGGAGGCAACTCTGATCTGTATCATTATTAATAAGCAAAGAAAAATGAAAATGCATTAATTAAATTTGATAAGGTGCTAAGATAATGTGTTTAGGACTAGGGTAAAATGACAAAGGACCTGTCCTAACAGAATGGCCTCAGAGCAGCAAGGTGGCACCCCACAGCGCTTGCTTCTTCCTTTCAAAAACTTAAAACTATTCTCAGGACAGCTGGTCCTTACTTTGGGAAGAAGGTAGGAGAAAGAGGGATGCAGAAGCCTGGTAGATTTTTATTCAAATACAATGCTGGTCAGTGGCATGTGGCAGGAATACTTTGGGCTGTAGGAAGTGGAAGTCTCAAGTGACAGCTGCTTGAACCACAAATGAATGTTTTGTTATCTAATGATGAGTCTGGAAAAGTTTAGTTCTAGAGTATGTGCGAGTCCTCAGTGGTTATAAGAATGCCAGTTGGATACCTTTGCAAGTTTTCTCACTGTCTCTGTCAGACCCAACATAGCTTCAGCAACCCTAGGCAACAGCTTCTCTCTCTCTCTCTCTCTCTCTCTCTCTCTCTCTCTCTCTCTCTCTCTCTCGCATTTAGTACAGGGTCTGCAAGGTCTCACTACACAGATGGGACTCGTAGTGATCCTCCTGTTTTCAGCCTCCCAAGTGCTGGGATTATAGGCATGTGCCACCACACCTACTCTCAATCACTGGTTCAGCACTTCCTCAGTGGGCAGGCCCAGTACAGCACACTGGGGAGTGAGCCCCTGTCCCTGTGTCTGCCTAAGCAGGCAGTTTAATCCGCTGAGCTATCTGGCCAGCCCATGGTAATAGTATCTCCACAGACAGCTTCTCTGAAAGATTAGTGGTGACATAGAACATTGAATAAGTACCATCAGCCAAAGGGTGGCTATCTGGGTAAGTTAAATCTACATCTTTCCTTCTATTAAAATATGTTGCAGATAGATCCAATATTTAAAAAAATGAAAGAAGGCTGGTGTTTTAATTCAGAGGTAAAGTGCTTGCCTAGCATAACTGAGGTTCTGGGGCTCAATTCCCAGTAGTGGAAAAAAAAAAGGAAAAAAGTTGGGGATTGGAGGAGACAATTATGTAACATTTTGTATTGTTGGCAATGTTAAAATCTGTACATGACTTTAAAGCAAAAGAAGTAAATAACTTTGATTTTTTTTTTTTTCTTTTAAGGCACAGTCTTAGTATGTAGTTCAGGCTGGCCTTGAACCTGAGGCGATCCTCCTGCCTCAGCCTCCCCAGTGCTGCGATTACAGGTATATGCTACTATGCTTAGCAAGAACTTTGATTTTAAAGACCGCTTCCCCAAAGAGGAAGGAGGATGAGAGAGATCAAGGAACAATGCCCTAGAGAGCCTCCCCTCATCAGGGGGAGAGTTCTGCTCAGAGACCCCGTCAGGCATCTCTCTAGAGACGCTGAAGCCTGCGAGTTGCTGCGATCGGCCCGGCTGTCTCACCTTTCCTTCTGCAGAGCTTGCTGAATTCTGACAAGTTTAACACAAAACATAGACCACATCTATTTAAAATCACTACGAAAGAAAAGAGACATTAGAATGGAAACACAGAGGAGTAGAAGGGGAGAAACACTATTCTCTGCACCAGAGAAAATCCCCATCAACCATGAAAAAACAAGGTAAAATAAAAATGATATTTTGACTGGGGGTGCCATTGACCCTTGCATTATATTATGCCCATATTTTGTTACACTTCTGCATTATTTTTAAGCCTTAACCCAGCAAGCATTTCTCCCGACAGGACAAACTGATTTTTTTTTTTTTTTCCCCAGAACCGGGGATTGAACTCAGGTCTTTGCGCTTGCCAGGGAAGTGCTTAGTCCATGGAACCATCTCCCCAGCCCAGGATAAACTGATTGATTTACGCCAAAAGTTTTCTTTATTTCTGTCCTTTTTTTTTTTCATTTAGTTTCTCCACCCTTCTGCCCATAATATATAGAGAAAAGGAGACACCTTGTGTTTCAAGCATCTCCTGCTCACCTGAGAGTTCTACCACCTTGACGAAGTCTGGCATCCTCTGTGGTCTGTCTGACTCCCTCCCTGTAAGTTGAGCTGGTTGAATTAGACAGATCCTGTGGTCACTTTCAGTTCTGAAATTTGATGACCCTGTAGCCGGCATGGACCAGTGCACGACCTCTCTCCACCTCTGCTACTGGAGCCTGAACTCCCTCTCTTCTCACTTACCCTCTTGTCCTTTCTGTCCCCTCCTTGACCTGGACCACAGCAAACTGAGTCTATAGGTATTCTGTGGGACTCTCAAGTCCCCCCCAAAGCACTTTCCAGGAAGCCCATGAGCCATGCACCTTGGATTCCCAAGACACAAGCCTCCCTGGAGTGAAGAAGCGGGCTTGCACTGGTGGCTTCTGGTCAGTGGCGAAAGCAATAGGTGCTCCAGGGCCCACGGGAACGGTGTGCTGACCACATCACTGCATCCCAGTCACACCCTCCACATCCTTCCTATCTCAGAGGGAATGCCAGATGGTGAATGACTGTGCCAACAGCAAAGGTGGTAAATCCCCACATAGCAATGCCTAGGGTTTGACTCTGACTGAGAAGGCAAGACTGAGAAGGCCATCAGTTTCTGAAGGCCACAGATAGGAAATCAGTAATAAAAATCAGCAGCAGAAGCTCCTTTGGATGAATGGATAAAAGAAATGTACAAGATGGGAGAGAGATTTTTGGATAGCACCACGAGGGGAAGCACAGAAAGACCCTCGTGGGCTATTTGAGCGCTAATTGATGTCTTAGTCCACTTTGTGAGACTATAGCAGAATATTGCAGGTTGGCTGATGAACAGAAGAGAAATTCAGTTGGCTCATGGTTCTAGAAAGTCCCAGACCAAGGGGCTGACACAGAGAGGGGGACTTCTTCCTATGTCATAACATAGCAGAAGGCATCAGATGGCAGGTTGAGAGAGAGGCCAAGGCTTCCAAACTCACCCTTTTCTAAGGGACCTACTCCTGCCTCAGTGGCGCTAACCCATTCATCCTCATAGCATAATCATTTCTCACTGGGCTTCACCCCAACTCTGTTGCATCAGAAATTGTTCTCAATGCATGGCTTTTGGGTACACATGCAGCCCACAGCTGTTGGTAGCTTCCAAGATTGTGACCAAAACGGAGGAAATGACTGGGAAGCAACAGGCCTGGACAATTAATGAGGTCAGAACGCTCAGAGGAGGATGTTGACTGAAGGAGACACAGGAGGGCTCTCGGGGCTGGAGCTCAGGACTATTTTTAGGCATTGTTATGGCCACAATGAAGAGCAGCTGAGTAAAGCTACCCTCCCAGGGGGCCAGGACTTATCTGATTGCAGGATGGTTGGGCCAGACCAGAACACACTGAAGTTTGATCTGTACTATGGAGGATTTCCCAAGGCAAAATCTAAGAAGATGTAGTAGGAAAACAAATATTTGAACCAGTATCAAAGTGAAAGAAGTAGAAAGACATATAGAAACATATTTGGCCTGGGAACCAAGAAACTCTTGAATCGTGTATGAACGAGTCACATTTTCCTCTCAGAGCTCTGAAGGAAATGCAACAGCAATAAACAGACCTCCAGCTCCTACCAAGGCCTGCTAAAGCCTTTGTATTTATTGGTTTGTGTGTTGTCCTGACAGATGTGATTCAGTGAGACATCTGGCGTGGTGGGTGGGTCCTTGGCTTGGGAACTGATGGGGACTTCTGGCAGAAAGGAAAATATTGGGCCAGGAACCCATGGCCATGAACACGGAGAAGTCACAAGGACACTGGTAGGGTACAAAGATGAGAAGGACAGAAAGCGTCTGGGGTAACTTGCTGGTAGATCGCCTGCTCAGCTGTCCATTAAGCCCACACTGAGACTCCTTCTGGGATGTGCTCATGTTCAGCTTTAAGATGAGGCCAGGTGTCTTCAGTGACACTGGGGTTCCCACTCCTATGGTAATAGACACACGTCTTCCCTGGTTCTTATCACCCCGGCACTTGCTCTTGGTAGACTCTAATTTTTGACTTCTAAATAATTTTGTAACAGACGGTACCTGTGTGTGTCCTCATTTGTGTTTCTGTCGACATTCCTTTTTGTTTTTAAATGAGATTCAAACTCAAGACCTTGAACTTGCCAGGCAGGTGCTTATGCTGCTGAGCTGTATTCCCGGCCCTCTGCCAACATTCTTATAGATGTATGGAGCAGATATATATAAGATGTCTATGTGGCCTGCTCCATGATAGCGAAAAGCTGGAGATCCTGCAAATGGAGAAAACAGTGGGTCATTCATACAAAAATTCTTATACAGCAGAGAAAGGGAAAAGGTTCTAATTAGGGATAACACCACGGGTCAATAAGACTGAGTTGGGTGCTCCTAGTACTACAACGAGGTCCAAGTACTACGAGATACATCACATACAATGTCTAACAATGTTCTCTTCACTCACGCTCTCCTAGGCATGGAGGTTATAATTTCCTTAGCCCATTCAGGATACTCTACTCTGGTCATACTGAATAAAGGACTCTTCAGTGATAGTTTCCATCAAATTCATTTGAAATCTATCCTTAGGGCATCTGGGCATGTGCAGGTATCTCTGCCAAATTAATTAATTAATTAATTTAGTGTAGGGCCTTACTATGCAGCTTGAACTCATAGTGATTCTCCTGTTTTTAGCCTTCCCAGCTCTGGGATTATAGGCATGTACCACCACGCCCGGACTCCTTTGTTTGGATCAGCGGGTCCAGGAGTGTAGTACTAGGGATCAGACCCTGGCTCCTGCGCTTGTCTAAGCAGGTGCTTAGTCTGCTGAGCTATCTTGCTGACTTTTCTGCTAATTTTTAAAAAGTTATTAGTATATGTTTGTAATATATAATACGCACATTTGTTTGGGGTAATGAGTATGTATCTAGATTGTTTCTGATCCCCTTTTCCCTCTCTCCTAATTTGTTTAACTTTTCCTCTATAACCCTCTCAAATCAATTATTAACTGACCCCAAATAGCAAGCACTTCACCTTTACTGAGTTTTAGCACAACTCACAAATGTTCCAGTACATGCCGTACCTTCCTTCCCACCTCCACCCCCCACCCCGCACGCTGAGACAGCAATTGAGACTGGGCACAGTGATGCGTACCTGTCATCCCAGCGCTTGGGAAGCGGAAAACAGGAGAATCACTACGAGTCCAATCTACATAGTGAAACTCTGTACACCCTGCACACCCTGTCCTAAATACCAAAAATAAATAAATAAATAAATAAATAAATAAAAATAAAAAAAATAAAAAAAAGAAAGAAAAGAAAGAAATGGTCCAGTGCAGGTAGAGGATTATTTCCCATTTTTTCCTTAGGGGATAACATATGAGATACACACACACTTGGGTCCTGTACCTCTCATCTGTCTGCTAAGTGACCGAAGCACGAGGGATCCATTCCCAGGCGACCAGCAGTTACTGTTCAATGGCTTGTCAATAAGCACTTGAACTTCTGCTTCCCTAGCATATGTGAGATGCTGCCCAGACAGTAGCAGGACACCTCGGAGCACTCCGTAGCTGCTCATATGATGATAAACAATGACATGCAATTGGCCCCTGCCACAGTGGCTTTTGCATGTTTCTCTACTCTGACGTTGCCACTATTTGTTCTTAGGTCCCAGAAATAGTTAAAGACAGTCGCACAGAGTCCAGCCTGAAGCTGGGGAGATGGCAGAGTAGGAGGGTAAAGCACCTGTCCTGCCTGTGAGCTGTTTGGCTACAGAACCCCACGCGTGCGCCTTTGAGGCAGGCGGAGAAACCTCTGTCAGTGTTTGGGCGATGTTTCCTTGGGTGCCGTAATCTCACCTTGTCTTCTGAAAGCTTGTCCTATTATCCCACTTGGTGGCGAAGGTAAGCAGCAGTTGACACATGCTCCCCTAGCCTTGCAAAATAGCCTTGTGACAACAGCAGCTAAACCCTTCCCCTCCCTTCCTACTTCAAAGGCCAGAAACCAGGGACAGGAGCTGTGTCCGGCTTCCCTACTCTGGCCTGATTTACAGCCCTCCCCTGCCCCCCACCCCAGCTCTTTTCTGCATACTTTCCCACGTGAAGTGAGTTATTTATCTTCCTTAACAGTCAACTCAATTTCTTCCAGAAGAATGCTCCCCCAAGCACTGTTGTAATTTATTCCAGCACCGAGTTGCTCTTGTAATCACAAGGTTCTGAAAATAGGTTCTATAGCTCTTGCAGCTGCAGCCACCTCTCATACTGCCCAAACCTTTCCCCTCTCTTCCTTCTGCTTCCCAGGGAGAATCTAACAGCCCTGGAAGCCTCACCTGATCCAGCTCTGCCTGCCCTTCTATCTCCTGGCCCGGGCTGGTACTTCACTCCAGGGTTTAGTGTACTTCCTGCTCCTGGGATAATCTCTTCCTCCACCCCTCAGCAGCTTCTTGCTCTTCTCTAGTCTCTGCCAATCTCCTCCCTCCTTCAGGGAACTTCTTCCCTAAGCACCCTGGCATGGTGGGTCATCCCAGTGTGTACACACCACAGCAGTCCTTTCCAGCTTATTAGGTGCGTATTTATTTACTGTCTGCCTTCCCTGGAAAGCTGTAAACTGTCTGTGGACAAGGCTCACTCCTGGCCTGGCACTTGGCACTTACCTCTCGGACAGTGCTTGGCATATGACACATAATTACGACACACTTAAAGAAATGAGTTTCTGTCAAATGAACATCCCTATGGTTGGGAGTTGAAGGGTAGAGGTCATTTTCTATTTTTTAAAATTTAATGTATTTGGTACAGGGTCTTACTACGCAGCTTGGACTTGTAGTGATCCTCCTGTCTTCAGTCTCCCCAGTGCTGGGACTACAAACATGCACCACCATGCCTGGACTTGGTCGCTGCCTCAGTGCACCCCAAGAGCACAGCGTGATGTTTGGAGCCGGGGATCAAACCCTGGTCCCTATGCTAGCCAGAGCAGGCACTTAGTCCACTGAGCTATTTTGCCAGCCCTCATTTTCTTTATTTCTGATACTAGGACTTATTTTTAAATAATTCTGAGATAATCAGATTTAAATGCAGTTCTAAGAAAGAATTCATATGTTGTTTATCTACTTTCCCCCTATATAGCTACAGTATAGCATCACGGCTAGATTGACATCCACAGAGTCTGCTGATCTTAGTTTCATTGGAGAGGCTCTACCTGCCTGCCTTTTATAGTCATATTCATGTACCTTTGTCCTCCCCTCCCAGCCTCTGGCCACCCAGCGCCCCACCGAGTGATCTTATCTTCAAAGCTTGAAGTCACTTTAAGAATATTACAGTAGCATAAGGGTCTGCCTGGCAAGCACAAGGTCCTGAGTTCAATCCCTGGTACCAAAAAAAAAAAAAAAAAAAGTTACATAACTTGAATCATGCAGTAGATAAAATTTTGGAATTCTTTTTTTCTCCACTGAGCCCCATTCCTTAGATTTGTACCTAAGTGGTTGCATAGGTCAGTACTTTTCTGTTTTAGTTCTCTCTCTTTTTTTTTTTTTTTTTTGTGACTGGCTCAGCCTGCCCTGGGGGCAGGGCTGGCGCTGCATGTGGTGCTGGGGATTGAACCTCGGTCCCTACTCTTGCCTAAGCTTGCCTAAGCAGGTGCATTAGACCACTGAGCTATCTCTTCGGCCCTCCGTTTTAGTTCTCAACACTATTGCATGGAATGGATATAGCACCATTTGTTTAGCCATTCAGTTATCCTAGACTGTTTGGGTTTCTTTTTTATTTTCACCATTATGCACGTATCTCCTCTGAGCATTCATCCACAGCTTCTTGTGTGAGCATAAATTTTCATTTCTCTGGTATAGATGACAAAAGAAAAGTTTCTTTTGTCATATGGTAAGCACATGTGTAGGATGTGTGTGTGTGTGTGTGTGTGTGTGCATGCGCATGTGCGTGTTGCATTTTACAAACATGCTAGCATCATGCGAGTGGTCTGGTTTCTCCAGATCTGTGCCAGCATGTGCTGGTATCACATTCTTTCTCTGCTTTAGCCATTCTAATTAGCTGTGTCGTGACATCTTCTTGTCATCTTCCTTTACACTTCTGTGCTAGCTAATGTTGCAAGTCTTCTCTTCACAGCCTCCCTTGCCATCTGTGCCTTCTATTCAGGATGTCAGATGCGAAATGTTGTTGGTCTTTTGCCCTTTCTCTAATTTCTTGAGAAATTTGAACTGCTGAGTTTCAAGAGCTCTTTATATACATTCTTGATCTTAGCAACATCTCTGGTCCATTGCCTTCATTTTCAGATAAGAAAAGTGAGGGTCCAAGTGACACGGGAAACAACCGAGAAGAAAGAGGGGGAAATCAGTGTCTCCTGAAATTCACACGACATTTCCCACAGCTTGGCTCAGTGTCGCCTGACTCAGCAACCTGCCCCTGCTTTAGCCCACACAATTTTGATGAAGCCAACATTTCTTTTCTGGGCTTGCAATCTTCCAGGGGAAGCTGTCTAACGTGCATCCTCTAAAGTTGCTTGCTGCTCCATTATCTTACCTCCATGTTTAGTAAAAGCAGATGGCAGCACCACTGTGCTTAATCCTGCACACAGTAGGGGGTTCTGGGTGTGTCTAGATGGTCCCCCATGCTGCATGCTGTCGTGGGGGTTGTTTTCAGAAGTGGCTAGATGTAGAGTGTGTGGTGAGGGGTGTGTGGTTACTCAATCAGTGCAGATTGGTCTGGTGCAGTTCTGGGTGTGAGAGCTACCACCTAAGGCTCAGGGCCCTGGAGGGCCATCCTGGTTTGGTACCTTTGTTTCTCTTCCCAGAAAGGATTCAAAGAATAGGTCCATGGTGTCTTTTCCTCCACAGACCTCCCTGACACTGATAGGCTCCGTTTCCACCTGGGTATTTCACACCATTGAATCTTCTAGGCAACTCCATCCGACCTCTGTAACTGAGCTCATCCTTTTCATTGACTTGATTAAATCCCCACCATTTCCAATAAATTGCTTTCCACAGTACCACTTACAAGCCATGGAGCTTCCTATCTGTTTTTAAACTCTTCCGTTTTGTTCCAGGAATTGGATTTCCTCACGAAGGCTGTTGCTCAACTTCATGTTCAAATAATGTAGGGCAAAGCTTCTCCATCTGACACGATGAGCTAGAAAACCCAAGTTCCAGTGTCCCCTGCAAAGAATTGGCAATACCTGTGCAGGCAGTGTTCTTGGCTCTGGCAGAATGGGAAAATTAGCGATTGGAGTCAGTGGTCTCTTTCGCCCCCATGGTGTGGTAAATTAGGCTGAGTCACTTATATTTTTGCAGTCTTAAACCATTCATAGAAACAGGAGATTTTCTGGTAAGATAGCTCAGCTGATCAAGTGCCTGCTTAGGCAAGCGCAGGGACTGGGGTCTGATCCCCAGAACTACATGCCACCTGGGCCCTGTCTCTGGGCACGCTGAGCCAGCCACAGAGAGATCAGGGGTGGTAGCACATGTCTGTAATCCCAGCACTGGGGAGGCTGAAAACAGGAGGATCGCTATGAGTCCAAGCTGTGTGGTGAGACCCTGTACCAAATGCACTGAGAAAAGAGGAAGAAGAAGAAGAAGAAGAAGAAGAAGAAGAAGAAGAAGAAGAAGAAGAAGAAGAAGAAGAAGAAGAAGAAGAAAGAAAGAAAGAAAGAAAGAAAGAAAGAAAGAAAGAAAGAAAGAAAGAAAGAAAGAAAGAAAGAGGCCATTTTGTCTTTTGAAAAGTAAA